CACATGTGTCCATCCTGCCAGCAGAGTCATACAAGCAACATCCTAATGCTCTCGCCCGCTTCCAGTGGGGAAACTTGGCCACACACACACACACACACACAGTGCAAGCATGAAACAACATAATCACACACATTCCTCCTTAGCAGGCCTGAACACAAACACACGCATGCATGCAGACGTTAAGCAATTTCTCAGCGACTGAGCTGCAGATCGTTTGCTTTTTTATGTCACGGGGAAAAAAAAACACATATGTACAAGTTTTTGATTGCTGGTCAAACAAAAGACAGTCAACAGTTTCATTTTGAAATTGAAGCTGAGGCAAATTTAGAGCCTGGCATTAGTGTTGATTGTACAGCACTTAAATGCAAATAAATGGGAATTTTAAGAATTATCATCAAAAGCATGACAACAGTGAATTTTCTGTTTTAACTCATAACTCCGCTAACAAACGCTACTTATTCACAGCAGAAAAAACGAGATACATAAATCTTTTGTGTCTCTTGCTTTGCTTTAAAAAGCCACAAAAAGACTATAAAGGTATCACCTCAAGCTAGACAACATGTGACTTTTTTCTTCTTCTTCTTCTTTTTTTTTAACATTTTACAAACCAAACCAGTAAAAAATAAATAGATAAAAAAAAATGTAGCAACCCTGCAATAGCCACAGTCAAATTTGGAGCTCTTTAGCAATAGAAGTTGTTTTTGCTCTCGCTCCCAGTTTGTGTCCATCTCCCTGAGGCCACAGGCAGCTAAGTGATGCTGTGCCACACGCCCAGCCACTCAACATCCTTTGTGTCCATCCCCTGGCAGCCTTCCAAGCTCACACAGACACCCATACACACATACAAATTCACTCTCGCACCAAATGAGCCATTGTTCATTAACACGCACGCACACCTCAACCGCCTCAGACAAAAATAAATAGATAAAAATAAAATAAAATAAAAATAAGAAGTGCTGCTGACTTACTTTCCATTTGCCAAAGGTGTCCTACTAATCAAGATATTCAAACTGAGTGGCGGATTGGGGGTTTGTGGGGGGGTTGCAGACGGTCACTATCTGGCCAAGCCTCGCTGTTAGCAAAATCAGATCATCCAGTCAGAGCCGCAAAGGGAGAGCAGCAGCAAGGCATTACAGTCAGCGCCTGTCTTGCTCTTTAGCTGCTGTTTTCTTTGGGCCAGTGCTTTTTCTTTTTCTTTAAAAAACAAACAAACAAAAGGCTCTCGTCGGGGTCCTCCGTCGTCAAACCAAATGAGCGGCATCCCCTTCGCACACTTTAACAAGACTTCCATGGCAATAACCTAATTAGAAATGGTGCCTTCTCATTTCAAGGCACAATGTAAAGGATAAGCTGTGAGCTGCCATGTCTATTAAAGGTCTAATGGTGTGGAATATTTTTCCTTTTTTTAATAAGTCCTTAGCATATTTAACACTTCCAAACGCAGAATGCTTTAATATCTGCCAGAGAATCCGGGCCACGGGTGGTGGAGATTGCTGGTGAAGAGTAAAGGGAGGTGAACGGAGGTCTGTTTAAAATTCAGAAATAGGGGGATAGCGAAAGAAGGTAGGAGGGAGGAAAAAGTATAAAATAACTGTCGCTTTGATTTGATTAAAACCTATGAAAAACGATGCATTACATAAAATGAGAAACTTCAAACATTTTGTGGGGATTCAGAGTTCAAAGAAATGGAGATAATGCTTTTTAATCCTGGAATTAACATGGAAATGAATTTGACAGGATGTCTTTTAGAGGATGGTGTGTGTGTGTGTGTGTGTGTGTGTGTTGAGAGGGGGGTGATAAATCTGTAAATTTGGCTACATTGGTCATAGATCAGTTTCTGCTGCATTTATTGCAATTCTTTCCTCATTTGTGTCAAACTTAAATTCATGACCTCACATCTTTTAACGTCTAACTTTTTCTTACATGTTTTTTCCCGTTTTATAATAGCACCAAAACCTGATGAACCACGTCTGGCATTTCAAGTGTAAAAGCACAATCTTAGCACTGAGCATCACAGGTTACAGCAGGATCTTTGGTAGTAAGCTGTAGGTATTACTCCTCCCCTGAGTCAGTCTTATGTGGCTATCCCTTCACTTAAGAACACCCATCAGATTTTGACTGGATAATAACTAGTCAGCACTGAGAAGGAGAGATGCCAGGAAAAGTGAATAGGAATCAGAAGAGTGTGTAAAAAAGGTTGAGTTGCAACACGGGGAAAAGAGGAAAAAAAATAAAATTTATCAAGCGGCAACTGTCAGTCACAAAAAACAAAACCCCCATGTGAAACTATGAAAAAAAAAAAGATGCAGCCAGTGTAGCAGGGAAAAGAGGGGAGGAGGGGGAAACATAGAAAGCGGAAGAGGAGGATAGAGTGGATCACAGTGTCAAGGATTTTAAGGAATTGGCGTCCACTCATCTACGGAGAAACACGGGCAGCGGCCCTACCGACAGCTACCTGCCGTCTCTGAGAAGAGGAACTTGGATCAGCGAGGAGGGGGCTGTCAGCTAGCACGCAGGGAAACACACAAAGACTACACAGCCTCGCTACAGTTAGCTGACACACAGCCCCAGCACTGTCTTCTGGGACAGAGAGAGAAAAGAACGAGGGAGAGAGAGGAAGAGAGAGGGAGGAAATAAGTGGACAAAGAGTGAAATAGATGAGAGAGCAAAGAGACAAGATAGGCTGACGCACTGTCGAGCAAACGCGGAGAAAAGAAGGGGAGCAGGGAGGGGAGGTGGAGAGATGGAAGAGAGCGAAATAGACAGACAGGTCCGAGAGGGATTTGTTCTATTTGCATGCGCCAGGCTCCCATGGGGTCCAGCTCCGCTCGGCAAGCCAAGAGCACAAAAGATAACACTTAACATATTTGCTAAAAGATGACAACCCTGCCTGGATCTCATTTGAAGAGGCCCCTTTTGTCAGGATGCTCAGACAGGAGAAATCCACTGATATGGACATGGCAAAGACTAACAAATGTCTCTCTTTCTTTCCTTCCTTCTCCCTCTGTCTGAAAAACCCGGTATTCCCCCCCCCAACATGCACATCCCCTTACATCTGGCAGGAGTCCCGTGGGGCAGACTAGATCGCACGCCGGTGGTTGCAGGATGGTAAAACAGCTTTTAATGGTAAACATTACATACTGATAGAAAGTGTCAGGATAATTTATTTATACGGCCCCGCTGGGAGTAGCTTAGCCACCTCGCAGCACACCGACTCTCTCTGTTCATTTGAGGGAAAAGTCCACATTTAGATAGATAAAGTCAGAGTAAAGGGCCGCCTGTTTGTAAAGCACTTTTTCTGCTATTCCTATTATTTCTCCACACTCTGTCCCTATTAGCTTTACTGTGAGGCCGTTGGAGATGTGAGGCGATACTTTATGTGTATAATGAGGGGGATTATTGCGACTGTCACTGCAACAAGCTCACACAGTGGACGCAGATCTTACGGTGAAGACTGGAGCAAAGGAATAAACAAACCGCTCAGTATCTACATTATTTACAGTAGGCCACACACACACACACACACACACAAACAAATCAACAGCGCGTGTGGCTGCTCCTGCGTTTCCTTCTTGTGCACACACTCTTGCCTTTGGAAAAACTCATGCTACCCATCTCAAACGTCAGAGCCCGCATTTCACACGAGTCTCAAAAACAGCAACAAAGCAAGAACACAAGTGTACGCGAGCGCCCAATAAAAAGAACAGAAAAATCACATCTGCAAATCAGACCCGCACGTCCAAATAAAATCAGTTTGGACTAATTTAGGGAAAAAAAGCTGCAGAAACTGTTCAGTTTTAACTGTTCGCTGCTACTTACATGTGCATACCTGCATGCTAATTTGGAACAATGAAACCAGTAACAGGATAACTTCTACATTTTCACCAAAGTGTGAGAACATCAGCACGCGCACATATAAAGAGAAATAAAGGCGAGACACACGCAGCAGCAGGAGAGAGGAGGTGAGGTGAAGCGAACGACTGCATGTGTGAGCTCAGAGATCAGAGACGAAAGGTTGAGTTCTCACTAACAGCCACTAGAAAAAAAAACAAGACTGTGCAGTTACAGAACTTGGCTGTCATCCATCCTAAAACTCTCGCCTTCAACGTGAACCTTCTTATTGTGCATCGGCACAACAGCAACACGTATGCAGGGCTGTTTTGTTTGTGTGTTTATGTGGCTGAAATTTCAAAACTGAATTTAATTTTGGAGCAAGGTGTGCTCTCAATGTGTCATCAGCGTTCCTCTATCACGCAAGAAATCCCTCACCTGATTAGAAAAATAATAACTAGCACTGAATGTTTCTTTAGTACAATAAAGGAAAAAAGATATGGTGCAACTAAGGGGAAAAAAAAATCATAAATATGTATTTTTCACTTTGTAAAAATGTGACAGAGGTCTCGCGCACAGTGACTCCAGTCACATCCATTTGTTTCATTAAGTGATCAGTGAATTTCTGAGCACATTATTCTGTCTCAATGATATTTTGAAATGTCAAGGAAAAAAATAATTAGCCTACTCAAACTGCTGTATTTAATCTGCAGCTCTGAGGGTTTTCAAGAACAATATTCCATTACAAATATGTCATTTATTTAATATCTTGAAAAAAATCGAATTAGAGCTGCAAAATTAAGCCATGTGTAATTTAGATGTTGCAGGCTTAGTCACCAAATATTAATTACCAGGTAGTGTGTGTGCTACACAAAGCTGTGTTTGCGTTACAGAAAAAAAATGAGTTTTTAAAAAATTAAGAGAAAGAAAATTAATCCAAACAACACAGCTACAATTTGGACATCCATCTCAAACATGAAGAATTCACTTTTTGAGCCAACACTCTAAACAATCTGAGGTCATCAGCTCCCCCCTACCCCCAACCCCAGCTGCCCAATGTTATTTTAATAGTTTTACATACATAAATACACACACACACACACACACACATACATATACATTTAAGTGAACAAGTACATAAGTTGATGGAGAAAAAAACATCAACCTACCATAGACGCTGCTGCTGCTGATCATGTCGTGCTGGAACAGAGAGAAGAAGAGAGAGAGGAAGAGGAGGAGAAAGCATTGGAATTAATTTGTGGAAGAAAAGGCGGAAGGAAGGATTCCCTCTCAAAGAAAAAAAAAAGCTTTACAATAGGAGACACTTTCTGGGTGCAACACTGCTCGGATTTCAAGCCGTGTGAGAGGTGGGCCCTGCGAGTCTTTGGAGCAAGCAACTCAATAGGAGAGCCATCTAACCTACATGCATCTCATTAGAAAGTGGAGCCCGAGATGACAGGCAGCAGTGGAGGAGGAGGAGGAAGAGGAAGAGGAGGGCGATATCGGAGAAAAATCAACTGGTGCGGATCTGTCATCCGAGTTAAATCCGCTCGTTACGACCACAAATGTCCAGTTTGTGAGATTCATTAATAGCTACACGTGCCGCGATATCACCGGATCCGCTGACTGCACGCGCAACTTGTTGTAACCGTACCCGCCTCATGGAAGCTAATGGGGAGAGGAAAAAAGCCTCCGCGTGTGTGTGTGAGTGTGTGTGTGCATCCAAGTTGTGGCTTTTTTCTGTTCGGAGTGCCGCACAGTCGACACACACAAACAGGAAGCCAACGGTGCAGCCTACGTGTCCGTGCCTGTGCGATCCACGCGCGGCGTGGCGCAGGTGCGCTTCACCGACAGATGAATAAATAACCCGTTACGCAGAGGGCATCGCTCGCAAATCGGGAAACTTGTCAGATCACAAACTGCACATGCACTATTCCGAGATGAGCGGCGGGCTGCTCCGAGCTCGTCTCCTCCACACAGACGCGCTGTCTGCTCTGACCGCTCGCTCTAATTGCAGATGCAGCGGATCCCCGTTCCTTACCTTTTTTTCTCTCTCTCTCTCTCTGCTCTCCAGTGACAGGTCGACCTCTCACGTGTGTGCGTGTGTGTGTGTGTGTGTGTGAGAGAGCGTGTGGGGGGGGAGTGTTATGGTCGCATCGATCCCTGGGAGGGGTCCTGCTGATGAGCGAGGTGCCGAGGTTAAGCCGGGATGCGTGTGAGCTGAAACCATCCCAAGTTAACGCAGTAGACACTGACCACAGCCACTGCCATGTTGGAATTTCACCAGCGCTGAACAGCTGCTTCTCAGACTGACCAGTACGCTCGGCAACGCGCATGCGTCAAAAGGAGGAGGAGGCGGCGAAGCAGGGAGGTGGTGGTGGGGGGTGGAAAAAAAATCCAATTGTTACCCATAAGGTTGTTGTGGGCACTTGATTTGTATGTTAAGTTTGGAAGTGGTGATGGGAGATGAGCCGAAAGAGGCAAACACAGAAAGAGTGAGGACGCCTGCGCTGAAGAAGAGGCGCCTTTTAACAAGTCACTTCCACTCAGTTGTATTAGGATATGAAAGGTCACACAGACAGACACACTTTAAGCGCGTTTCTGACGCAAAAGAAACGCCTTTTAATCTTTGCACATCACCGACGAACTGATTTTCTAACACGGACACTGATTTAAGCACAGTGCTTGCGATCGCTTAAAAGTTCTCACTGATGATAAACTTTAGCGTTCACCTCTTAAACCGAGCAGAGAAGAAGAAGATGGAGAGAAAAAAACACGAGCGCACGCAGCAGTCGCAAATATCTCTCAGTGATAATTATAGCAGGCAATATGGAATTAGCAATTGAAGCCCTAATTAGAATGAAATTGTCCCAGCTAGCGCGTTATCAAAGCGTCAGCGGGGAGACCAGGTTTAAACAAGACATCAAAGATGGAAGACCTGTCACTTCATTGTTCCTAATATCACCCCACTAAGTAGTTAGCGCGCAAGGGGGAGAAAAAAAAAACATCGTTAATGTAGCCAAGTTTAAAGTGAGGTTATTAAAAAATGTGCTTGAAACAATAATAACTCGGGGTTAAATGTGCATCCATGCTGAGGTCACGCACACCTCCACCAGTGGCTTCCTTCCTTCCTCCTTTCCTTCCTTCCTTCCTGCTTCTTATGGCTTGGGCCTGCGCTGCAACTTTCGCTATCAATAATTATTATTATTTTACAATTCCACCACTTCATTAAAATTGTCAAGCCGGCAATGCAATCAAGGATTAATTAAAATTGATTGAAACCTTAGTTAATCACTATGTAATGGCTTCGTGGAGGAGTGATCTTTTTGTTAGGCAGCGCTAATTATTAGTTAGAGGGAAAAAGGCTTCCATGCATCAGGTTTGTAATGTTTAAATGGGGGAAAACAGGTCTCTGTCTTACATTCCAGTGTGTAACTACATTACAGAGCATACCCCCCCCTGATTTCCATACTGAAGGCAAAAGATATAATTCAAGTGTTTTGAATATTCAGTGTTGCTATAAAAGGCTCCCACACTGCTATGGAAAACCTTGTGTAAGGCTACTTTTGTGACGTGTAAAAGTGTGTGTGTGGGAAAGATTTAACAGCAACATAAATCTAAATAGATTTTAACTCATTAGCCATTGGAGAGGTAATGATGTAAGTCTGCCACTAATGAGCTTAAGCTCTTAATTGAATAGGAGGGGGGTGGAGAAACACAGTCGCACACACACAAATATGGACACCCACACAGTGCACAAAACACAATGCGCATACACACCTTCCAATGCAATCCTGTTTCCTGTGTTCCTCCTCTCTGTCTTTCTCTCTCCATCTCCAGGGTCATAAGGGGGGGGGGGGTTAGAGTCACATGACCAGCTAAATTTCAACCCCAGCGCCTGAAGACTTCAGTGTCGGCCCTCATCATTTCAACGCTACACTTTTTTTTGGTGAATTTTCCCCTCCCTCCACCAGCCCCCAAATTAATTAATTAAATAAATAAAACCCAAAGAAATCTCTCGTGTTATTTATGAAATTACCGTGCTAAATGAAACACGAGGTCCTGTTCTTTAATGCGAGGCAAAAACAAAGCACCTAATCAAAGGAATCCCCGAACGTCACAATAATCAAGCTTCGGCTGCAAATGTATCATATTTCCGCTTATAAGAGGCGGAACATGCAACAAAACCCGTTGCTTTGATGTCACCTCCCTGCATATCATATTTTTCTTCATCTTCTCCAAATAATTATCAGCACTTAACCTGCCTTGTCTGCCACGAAGTAAAAATGTCAGAATCTATTTGGATAAAGAGGAAAAGGCTTATAGAATAAAATGTTTTTTCTTTACATTATGAATAGGCCATATTCCCTTGGTAATACAGGCTGAAAATGAAAATGATGATATCCAATTTCTTAGTGTCTTCTATCAAATATACCCTGATGTAAACAAAGCCCATGTGAATGGGGTACAATTGTAGGGGAATCTCAAAGGCAGGAAATCCAAGGGGAGAAAACGGAGAGATTAGAAAAGCCCAGACAGTGTTTCCAGTCTCTCAGATAAAGAATAATAATATAGGGAAATAGAAAAAGGGATGAGTTGTCTGTGCTTTGAGGCTAGAGTGTGGCCAGTCCTCTTTTATAACCCAGACTAACGGCCTGATAGGACGCGGTGTAGATTTGAGCAGAGCCTATTGAACATAAGCTGCTAAATTTGGCAATAAGGGGAATGTGATTTACTGTAAGCTACAGTGGCCCAAGAGTGACGCAGCCACCTGCACACACACACACACACACACACACACACACACCTGAGAGCATAAAAACACACACTAACAATAACTCAGTCACTCCGTTACTGTCTATTGCTCTCTCCCTCATTCTCCCTGACACACAGTGTGAATGGCTGGCCCGCTTTGCCTCTGAGCCCTGTGCACACACACATAGACACACACACAGACACGCTCGCACGACCACTCATGCGGCTCAGCAGCACTGACTTTGACAAATAACCAGGAAGTCCTGGTGTTGGCTTAAAAACTCCAACTTGTTCAGTTGCAATTCTGCATTTGTCCTGCTTTAATGGCTGTGGAAGTGGCTTTGGAGGTAATCTGTCAGTGATTGATTAGAGCCTGGCCAAATCCCCCCTCACTGAACGCATTGGTAAGCTGCAGGCCTGCCTGCTGCTGCCGCTGCTGCTGCTGTGTGAGGCAGAGAGAGACAGAGCAGAGAAAAGACAACACGGAGACAGAGAGTTCTTCGATGTGCAAGTACATTGAAGAACTCAATAAGAATTCAGCTGGGAATTCATGTGTCCTTTTTTTAAAAGGCCAAAACAGCCACAAACTCATCTTGCATATATTTTGAAGCTGACAAAATCAAAGCAAGTAAGGGAATGTTTTATCTTTAGCAATATATTATTTCACACAGTGCCCAAAAATTCCTTATTTTATGTTTGGAGACAATCAAACCCCCAAACCACCACATTTCTTTCTTATTTTTTT